AAAGAAACGAACATAATTAAATAACACAGGATTTAAGCTCCAAATTATTTACACTTCACTACGCATTAATTAACACTCACGCACCAACTTATGTAGGATAACATACACCTTTAAATCTTAAATATACAGTATGATTATGGAATGTCATCAAATACATTATTTTACACTTTGGTTGCGCTTTTGTATGGCTAAGTATGTCACTTAAACAAACCCACACATATATATTTGTTTTTCTGGCTTCCGTCCGTCGTATTGTGACGATGGTGTAGACTTCTCTTAGATGAGTTTCCAACCAAAGTCTAACGTCTCCAGTCCACCGGGGGGGGGGATGTTAGGGGGGTCAGGGAGGGGGGGTTTGCCGTTGAAATTTTAGCGGTGTCTAGGCTTTCGGTTGGGAGTGGGGATTGAACTCCAAACCTCATGATTTTTGGATAGACTTATTTTAGACTACCCGGTACCCTGTAGACTTGTATTCTTTTCATGAATTTTTACGCTAAAAGAAAAAAAAATTGCCTTCCTTATGATACACTTAATACTGAGATTGTAGGTGGTAATACCGAGCCTTTTTCATGCTTTAGTTCTTCACGATTAACATGTGTGAATTAGTAAAACGTCTTTACCCCACCCCCACACACACACACAACCAGTACCTATCTAAACGTAAATAACTCAGTGTGTTCACATTATCTAACATAGAGCATGTATTGGATTTCACTTAAGTCCACTTATAATTAATGCACGATAATCATAAGCGGATAACCATCATTTTGAGGTTTACTTGAGATTCCGACTGCCCTGGTGGTTCTGGATCCCGCCCCTTTGCAGTAAACACGCATTTCAATTTGTCAGGGTAACTGAATCCACGTGACCGAAGTTGAAAGCGAAAGTGTTCCAGACGTTTCGGTTGCTTTTGAGTCCAAAAAATACTCGCAGATTTCTCTCGGCACACCTGCACCCTGACAGGGGCACAAATGCAACCTGACAGGGGAACACATGCAACCTGACAGGGGCACACCTGCATCCTGAAAGGGGCACACGTGCATCCTGACAGGGGCACACCTGCACCCTGACAGGGACCATATGCACCCCGACAGGGACACACATGCACTTCGACAGGGAGACACATGCACCCCCACAGGGACACACATGCACCCTGACAGGGACACATCTACACCCTGACAGGAACACACATGCATCACCCTGATAGGGACACACCTGCACCCTGACAGGGACACACCTGCACCCTGACAGGGACACTCCTGCACCATGACAGGGACACACCTGCACCCTGACAGGAACACACATGCACCCTGACAGGGACACACCTGCACCCTGAGAGGGACGCACCTGCACCCTGAGAGGGACACACCTGCACCTTGACAGGGACACACCTGCACCTTGACAGGGACACACCTGCACCCTGACAGGGACACACATGCACCCTGAGAGGGACACACATGCACCCTGACAGGGACACATCTACAGGAACACACATACACCCTGAGAGGGACACACCGGTACCCTGACAGGGACATTCCTGCACCCTGACAGGGACAAACCTGCACTCTGACAGAAGGCGGAGGTAAACATTTTGTCCATCCTCGGGTACCACTAACCCTAGCTGCGCCGCTTAAATCCCCTGACGTGATTAAATCTTTTATCAAGAAGGAAAAGAAGAGTTTTATCCAGCCTAGGATCAAGACTCAGGTTGTGGTTCTTAAAAAGCCTTAATCTTTACTACTAAATTATTTTTTTTTCGTGTGTTTAGAGCAAAATCTTCGGATGGCTAATCGAACCACTTTTTGCCATCGTATCTAGCTGAAACTTGGCACATAGTCTCGTTCAATAACAATCCTTAATCTTTACTACTAAATTATTTTTTTTTCGTGTGTTTAGAGCAAAATCTTCGGATGGCTAATCGAACCACTTTTTGCCATCGTATCTAGCTGAAACTTGGCACATAGTCTCGTTCAATAACAACAATTTTTGTTTCGGATTTACAGCCCCACCCCCCAATCCCTTTCAAATCAGTTTTTTTTCATGTTTTACAAGGGGAAGATGAAATGAAATATGATTAGTTTCATGGGTACGTGTTTTGGTGAGTAGATTAAGTGTGTAGCTGTCCCATATGTGCTTTTTATTTGTGACGTATTAGGGTATAAAGGTAAAAATAAAATGTATTTTTGGTGGGGAAAAATTGACGGAAATATGAAATGTGTTTTTGCCAGAAGTTTACCCATTTACATAACAGCTTCTGGATAAATGATAAATCACGTACGATTACATAAACGCAAACTAGACTGCATGTAAAGGATTTATAAGAAAAAGATGTATAAGATTCTTAGGTGTTATTTAATGTAAATTTAAAACAGCATTACAATAGATATATATTTATATATGAATATATTTATAAATATTTATATATGTATTTATTTATATATATTATTATATTAACGCATATCATTAAATGGCAATACTTGCTTGCCTCTATCGAATTGTCGTATTTCAGATAATAAAAATTGTATGCCACATTCATCCATGCAACCCAGTCGGGCTACAGCCCAGGTAAGACTTTGTTCTGCTTCACTGCTTCTCTCCTCTCAGACATAACTAGTCTAATGCTTTTCCTTTTCCCATGCTTGGATTCCAAGCTGCTGTAGATTGTTTTCCCCATCATCCATCCATCTATGCCTAGGTCTGCTTTTGAGCCGCTTTCCTCTGGGGGTTTTGGTGATGTACCCTCTTCTGTCAAGGTGGCATTCTCTCTAAGTGTCCTGCCTAGCGTACCCTTCCCATTTTTCTATCTTTGCTACTAGCATGGGATCCTGATGTAGACTGTACAATTCCTGGTTGGTTCGTATTCTTCATCCATATTCATCCTTTTTTTTGGTCCGTATATTTTCCGGAGAACTTTTCTCTCCCATATGTTTAGGTTTTCTGCTGTCTTTTGTTAGGGTCCAAGTTTCACGTGCTTACGTCACAACTGGTCTGTTTACAGTTGTATAAATGGTTTTATTTGTTTTTCTTGTAATGTTTTTTTTTTTTTTTAAACTTTTGAGAATATTCTGACTACTGATGTACGCCCTGTTTCCGACGGATAGTCTTCCATTTATTTCTGTTGGTACTAAGTTTCTTTTATTTCTGTTAGTACTAAGTTTCTTGTAATTCTGTTGGTACTAAGTTTCTTTTATTTAATAAAGATCCTAGGTATTTGTAATGAAATACTTTTTCATGTTTGAGGTCAAATAAAACGAACTTAATTAAAAAATCTGACACCGGCCCCTGGTGCTATTGGGAATCTGTCCTCGGAACAGACAATCTTAAAATGTTGGGTAACTCTTATCTAAGCAATATCTATCATACCAAAATGCGTACATGAATTGTATTTGTGAAGAAAAAAAAGTTTAAAAAAAGCTGAAGAAGTATTTAATTGGGGTGGGGTAAGGTGGTGGTGGGGGGGACTGCTTGGGTTCTGGAGATGGTCAGTAAATCTGTCTGAGCCATACCTATATCCACGCCGGGATACGCCGATGTTTATTAGCCCCCCTACAAATAAATTACTAGTATCCACCTGAGCATGAGTGTTTCCATATGATGGCATAGACTTTGATAAATGACATGATGTGATAGTGAACCGTGGTGACGTACTGTGATAGTGAACCGTGGTGACATGCTGTGATAGTGAACCGTGGTGAAAGGTGTGATAGTGAACCGAGCTGACATACTATGATAGTGAACCGTGCTGACATACTGGAATAACACATTATGTCCTAACCATCTTACGTGCATTCTATCATAAACATCCTACACGCTTTCTGTCATATCCATTCTCCACTCCTCCTTTTT